GTAGCACCACAATATTTATTCTACTACTAGGAGACTGAAAAATTGAGTAAATGCTGAAAAATGTTTTTGACGCCGATAGCAACTGGAGAGAGGGTGGGGTTAAACCGAAAAGCTAGCCTAGACATAGCAGATTAGGAAACTAATAGGTACGAGAAAGTATGTGGCATTCTGTAACACTACGAATTTATATCATTTTCATTACGGAACACACATGTATATTGTACAAGTTATTTTTTAAACAAAAATGTAAAAAGAAATAGAATGTATGCAAGTTCATTTCTCTGATTATATTCAACAAAATGTAAGCACGTCTGTTGGGGTTCTGGTGAAAGGAATACATTAGTGCGATAGTGCTAAATGCTGACGGTACTTGCTCGTTTGTTCGAAGATAGAAGCAAGAAGGAGTTAAGTGGATAATTATTTGAGAACACTGCTACGTTGAGGTTGTTTCGGCAGTGAAAAAAAGTGAGCAGTTTGAGTACCGTTATGTATTGACTTACAGTTATTCTTCACTTTTTTGTTTATTTAAACACTCCCCTGGAGCCCGAAAACGCTCTTTGAAGCGAGAAAAACTAGACTTTTGAACAGGAAACAATAATCTTAACGATACTACATTTATTCAACAATCTTTGGACCCACTTATTTTGCATACTCATGCTGCGAAAGCACGGAACTACAATAACTTTCATATATGAAAATAACAACTTGCTACCACTCACGTGTGTGTGACAGTATGTATATATTGTCGTATGTGGTCATGCACGGTGACGCTAACTACGCTTCCGTCATAGAGTCAGCATTGTTTGCACTGTCCAGTGAACACCTCGGTGTTATGAATAGTTGAGCTCTCTGACTGCGCAGCTTACTGACTAAGCCAGTTCAAAACGCATGTGCTTTTTTGAAGGGAAGAATGTACGGCAGTGATGCTAAGATACGTGCCACTAGTGAGCCTTGGTGGCACGATAAAATCTCTTTTCCACCCTCAGGACAAACAGGCCACAAACAGCGCAGTAGTGACAGTGGCTCTAGAACATACGTGTGAGGTACGATTAGCGTAGGTGAGAAAAGTTAATTGAAATGTGTTCGTTGTTCTTTTCGTTATGTTTCTTAGCATGTTTACTTTTTATTTTTCTGTACGGGTACTGTTTTTTTCATATTACAAAAGCGCGTTTAGCAGATAACATTTCGGCCTTCTACGTTGCGCTGGGTGTGCCACTGCTACTAGTAGAGAACTTTAACCTTACTTTGTATCGCAGTCTTGAAACGCCTACTGCAAACAAAATATCCGCGGACCGGGTAGTATTAAGTCTCATTGGATCTTACATTCCATAGATAAAAACTCTGAATTCTATTGGGTTTTAGTCCTTCATTCTACTGGCGGATATTAATCATTTCTGACGGTGATAAGGAGATTGAAAAAACTGTTTGTTAGTTAAATAAATAAAAGGTTCTGTTTGGTATCGAATGTTATCTGGTACCAGACAACACCTTTTATTTATTTAGTTTTTAGAAGGTAATTATATCACCAGCGATATTATTAACCGTTTATTAAAATGAAGCCTATTTGTCATTCCTACATATTCTCATCTCAGAAGTCGATGTGTAAGTCCGAGCAAGGACTGAGAAAGCGAGCGCAATCTTATAATTGTGGCTCTTTCAAGTGTTTTTGAAGAAAAAATATTGTTTTAATGCGTTTCTGTGGAGTTTTATTTTTGCCACATGTCTATGTTTGTTCAAAAGTCGACTTGAAGCTAACATTCGGAAGAACAGTGTGTACTCCCCTGTTTTGAAAATCCAAGATCCCCTAAGCTGAGTTTGAAAGAGGCCCTTCTTTCCATTGGTCAGAAGTGAAACTTGTCCGTTCAGTTGCGAAAACGTGAATACGCCACTCTGCACGAATGCGACTTTTGAGGGGGGGCTGCCGCTCTTAGATCCAGAGCAACTCCCGCCGCCGCCGCCGCTGTCCCACGCGGCGCCGCGGGGCGAGGCGAGACGCGAGGCGAGAGGCGAGGCACATTGGGCAAGCAAGGCGGGATTAGCAAGGCGCGAACGACGCTCTGCAACGCGGCGCGGCGCTGCACGAGATATTACCATTCCCAATGACAGCCCATGTCGCCAGAGGCCGCGCCCGCGCCTGCACGGGGACCTGGCGCATGAGGCTAGTCGGTGTTCCAAGCCGGTGGACGAGTTTTCGTTCGCCAAGACCCCACGGGCGGAATTCGGCCCTTGAGCCCGCGTTGCAAGCCCTGGCGTGGAACTGGAAACTCCCGGCTCAGCGTCTCGGTGTCACTCACGTTACTGACAGAGAGGTGATTGTAGAGTGAAGGGGGATGACCATGGTCCGAGGATGTAACTGGCCGGGCGTCCCTCAATTTCGAGCCCGGAATCGTTGTAGCAATGAGTTATGGCGTCTCGAAACTCAGGAGTTGTGGAGATGGAGCTTATTCTGGCTCTTAAATGACTGCGGTAGTTGTTTGCTTTGAGCTAGCGAGAGGATTCTACACAGATTATGGTTAGACAAAGACTAGGTTTGTTGTCAGTAAAATGATTAATGCCGTCGGTGCGCAATGAAAGTTCAACAATTAAAAAATCGCCGCTCGACCGGAGAAAGGGTTTATTTTTTTTAACTGAAGCTGTTTATTTTGGGTAATTTCACAAAAAGGTTAATTGTATACATTGTCTGTCTTGTAAACTATCATTATGAACTTTGTACTATTAACAATATATCATCTTCTGAACCCTTAAATAAAAAATAAACGTTTGTGAGAATACAGGAATGATGATAAAGCCTCCAAAACTCGAAAGCAATATTAAAATGATCAAAAGACGTTTAATTTTTGGTTGCCAGCAATACCGCCTTCTGCATGGTTCTGAAGCTCCATTAATTTAAATGGAGCTTCTCTTTTACAAATCTCCAATCTTCAGCTAGCCTACTAGTTAAAATAATAACGGGCACAATATCTACCTCTATTAAATTGAATATGAAGAGTGGCTACTACTTGTTTCTTTTCTGCCATTGAGATTGAGTATTGATGGAGATTATGATCTAATGGAACTGCGATATCTATTATTATTGACCTGCGATATCTATTAGTTTCGTCGAACATCACAATAACAGACTAATTTGTTTCCATTATTTTATCCGTAACAATGACAGTATCCCACAAGATTTTTGTTCTCTAATTAGAACTTGCTCCGGTAGTTATTTGTAATAAGGCAAGCTTTCCTTTTTCAGGTCCGATCTTTTGGCAAGAGCTTGGTGGATGATTTTGGCCACATTATTATGACATAAGTAATCCATTTGCGCCCCTGCCGATATGTTTAATAGATTCAGTAGCCTTCTTACACAAACGTCACTTGTCACTGATATTCTTTCTCATGATATATCGCCTGTAGTTATTAGTGATTACTACCTGAGATCTTGAATGGACAGCACAAATCCTACCGTTTCGCCAAAGAGCCTAGCGCTTCTCATCCATTCAGTCGATCTGTTCTTGTCGATGGAGTTACTTCGAAGCGCTGTCGCAAATCTGCCATGAAGTTCCTTCGATCTCCACTGCTCAATTCGGTCCTCGGATTTCGGAAAACGTGGATTGGGGTCTTCTTGAAGCAGCTTAAGAGGTGTATAGCCGTGATCTTGTGCGCAGATGGCAGTCGTGGATTCGTTGATGATAATATAATTTCTGAGCTATTTTTCTTGCTGGCGGCACATAACTTCAACACTTAATAATCCACGTCCTCCACGGTGTCTTGAAAGATATAGACTTTCGGTGGAACTTCGAAGAAGATGCATTCAATATTTTGATAGAAGTGTTCTAACTTTTCCATCAAAAGCTTCCAAAGCTATCTCAGAGCACCTGACAATCTCAAATATATGTGATGCCGCTGAGAGAGTCCAGGTGTTAGTTCCTGTAATTTTTTTCTCGAATTAATACAAGACTTCCAGATTTTCGTTACACGCTAGGGAAGCTTTGTTTCCTCATCTGCAGTTTCTAGGAGCTGCTAGAGACAAAGATACTTATATTCATCGCAATCATATTATTATTATTATTATTATTATTATTATTATTATTATTATTATTATTATTATTATTATTAATATTATTATTATTTCACAATAAAAATATGCCACAGTTATAGCATTAACATAAATGTGTTTACATGTTCGTGATTCATGACTTTTTTCTATTACGTTCATAAGGCTTGTACGCTAAATACATTGACCCCTATATGCAATTAAGATCAACTACCCATGATAAATATCGTATACGTGACGAAACACTTGCCAAGACTATCATTATCAAACGGAAACAGTACACAGTACGCAGTTGAATGTTTTTAATCAACAACTCATCAACGGTAATACTATACATTTTCAGTAGTTGTTCCAATGTTATTTATAGTAATATTCTTCATTAACGAATTATTCTATTAGGGATTATACTTCTACTAAGTGCCTTAGGACACGTTGGCAGAGTTATCTTTTCTCGGTTCACTTATTTGATACTTCGATTTTAACAATGGATAAGCTACCACAATTAGATTGTGTGTACTCCAAAGCAATCTTCTATTATTTGTAAAAAAAATCATTTTGCGGTAACATTTTGAATCGCAACTACAGTTTTTTTGTTGGTCACTCAAAAGTATTCATGCCAAATTTAGTAACAGTCAGTCCAGTGGAACTATTTTTTTTGTGACATACCATTGTGACCAACTTTACTTCTGTACAATAGATTATTATTTTCTTGACATTATTATTTTTGCTATAACTGCCATTACTATTATTATATTTCATGACTAATTAACTGGAAAATCTTAACTTATTGACATGGTTACAATTATAAATCGACAATGACAAAGTGCAATTATAAATCGTTCAGAATTATTATTATTAATATTGTTATTATTAATATTATTATTATTAATATTATTATTAATATTATTATTATTAATATTATTATTATTAATATTATTATTATGTTTAACTCCCGGTTTTCTAGGTATGACCACACCTTCTTCCTTGCGCGATGGTGAGTTCTCTCACAGCGACCTGGGTGGACGCGCTTGCAGCCGTGCATGGCAGGCGGCTGGCGCCCCTAGCTGCGAATTGTCCAACACGGCGCCCCTGCCCCCACTCCATGGCGTAATTGACTGATTATATCGCTCCGTGGGAAAAGGTCTCGCAGGCGCCGGAACTTTATGATTTCTCAGGTGAATTCACTCGCATTCACAACTGCTGGCAAAACCTTGGGCACGAGCGTCACAGGCGCGTGTGTAAGATTTGTTGTGTGTTGAGGATATTTGACTGTCTCGGTCATTAATTTTATTAGAGGCAGGTTTTGCTGCATTTGCCATTTGTTGGTCATTTGATTGTTCTGCGGATGCTGAGAACTTTGTTCCAGGATCACCTTCTTCCCAATATTGCGTATTTATAGCGTGCTCACATATCGGCTGAAGCATTAACATGCCTTTGTGATACGCGAAATGTCCAATCCCACTTGCGCTTATTTTTACCACTTATTTGAAGGTTCTTTCCAATTATTTATACTACATTTTAGAATATAAAAGGTGACTCAAAAATTCTAAAATATGATTATTGTTTATCAAATCCTATTTCCGACAGTTAATTAATTAAAAGTCTAGTTCTTCTAACTTCACAATGGTTCTTTCAAAATGTCAGTCTGCTCTGGGGTTCCCACGTTGCGGGAACCCAGCATTGTTTGTTCGCGTTTGGTGTTTTGGAGTATATCCTTGGTGTCTTCACTTAATTGTAATATGTTACGTGAAAATCAATGCATATTTAACATATTTACATCGAAAAACGTTTGTCATCGCTCTATCATATTTGCTTTGTCAAATGCCGTGTGAAACTAGATCAATGAGTTGCAAAACCAATGCACAAAACCGAAGTATTCATTAATATCACAACCTGGAATTCCTGAATTAATATTGAACAGTTTTCATTGTTCTCTGAACTAATGCGCCCTACTCTAAGGGTAATATATAGGTAAATAATATAAACAATGATATTGACGTCAGAAATTCAATGTCTTCATTTCACTTTAAATCGTCAATATTATTGAAACACAGTTGAACATTGTTATTTCCTCTCTTCAAATTTGCTCTTTCAAGAACATTTTAATATTTTTGTTTTTTTTCTTGACCTGTTAAAATAAGAAAAATGAGGTTCTTGGATTTTGGTCATGAATCATATCACATATGTGATATATGTGACCGAAATGTAACCGGATGTGACCCAAGAGTGAGGTGAAGGCTCCACCTATTCGTTGCCGTCGGCATAAAGAGGTTGTGTGGTGAACTCATCATAATATAATGTATATCAATAACTTCACATTGTTTTATAATGTAAATAACTTTCAAATATATTATTGCAGTCATGATGTAGGTCAAAAAAGGCCGAAAGGTCGGCAAAGTCAATTAAATTCAATCGAAGTTTGTTTCAAGAAAAATGTAATTTCCTCTTTTCGTTCTCGTTTACTATCAATGCGGAATTCAAAAAAAATGCGAGGTCGATGTCGGTTGCGATCCGCTGTTATTAGCCCGAGCTCCGCAATTTTTATGTTTTTTTTTTTTTTTTGTTATTTAAGGTCGCATTTACTTCTAGGTCATTAGCGACTACTATTGCTTGTAACGGTATGGTAACTGTGAGGATGACACGATGTGATGATGGTGATAGGGGGTGAAAGGACGAACACAATACAACCATGCCCGAGGCGGCACTCGAACCCGCGATCCTTCGGTCCGAGATCGCTCCGGCCCTACTGCCTCAGCGATCTCGGCCACCGGATCGGCACTTTTAATGTTGTTGTTAGATTTAAGTGCTATATGGTCCCGCGTTCTCTAAAGACTGGTTTGTGGGGCAACAAGTGGAGCGGCTCACCGTTACAGGCGCCAGAAATAGCGGCCGCCGGGGGCGCCGCGCTTCCCACGAGGCGCGAGGCGAGTTTCACTTTCCTTCCCGGCGCCATCGCAACTGTTTGTGTCCCAACCACCTCCACCCTCCTTTGCGTACCGGACTGTTATACCCAAGATCGCGGGTTCAAATCCGATCGAAGCCGTGGCGAAGCCTAAGGGCGAAAAAATTCTTCGTACGCTTTCTTTCGGAGGGGAAATAAAGCCGGCTGTCCCATGTTAGTACTTTTACTTGCATGTAAAAGATACGCAAGCCTAAATGTCGGTTATGAGCTAAACTCAAATCGCCTGTTTCTCGTTCAAGAAATATCTCCTTTCTTTGCTAGTTGGTAAAAGGAGAGTAGCGAAATTTGCGTGGTGAGATGCAAGAGCGGGCCTGATGGCCCGAGTCTCGCGACGTAAAATAAGGCATCATTTCGGTTAAATTCAATTCAAATTCCTTCGAAGGGCGCTTTTTTCAGGCCAGAGAACGTGATAGATTTTACACGAACCTGTCTCATTCGATGAAATGTGAAAAAGTAACTAACAAAAAAGAAAAACTTCTTCAAGACTTGTCTAATGTATGGCGTACAAATCAGATAACAAACTGCGAAAACTCTGTCCTGATAATGCAATTTCTTCATGTGCTAATGTTTCACTAAAATTGTGGCAACTGATGAATGTGATTAAACCTATTTTTAAGGTATGTGCACAACATTGTAATATGTAACGTTTATTTAGCACATTTTTTTTATTTAACAATAACTACTGGTATTTACAAAATGTAAACATTTACTTTTACTAAATACAAATAAGTGTAATTATTGCCGTCAAAATGACTGCATCGACTATCTAGATTGCCTTGAGACCAGTAGGCAATTTTTTCTGAATTATTTGAGCATTGCCGAAGAGCATTTTTTGGGTTTTACTGAACGAATTTGCAACATTCATAGTTTTATTGCATAACATATTTTTTATTATTAACGTTTTTTTAATTTACCTTTTTAAACGTTTCATTTAAGAAAAAAAATATGACTTAACCAGGCAGTACATTCGGGTGGTCTGTCGAAGTCAAGCGCCATTTTGATGCCGATATGAATAAATTCTGCATTTTTTCCCATATGAACTGGGCGTCTATACCTTTCATGATACCTACTGTCTAATTGAAATTTTTGTGAGATTGTAGTTTGGAGTGGGTGTACACGGTGCTTGCACGAACTCGACCCGCATCCCTCCGTTGAGGCCGCTCAACCAACGTTATGGTAGGGTCAGTTTTCCTAATCAGATCATGTATCCGTTTTGACGGAATTCGCTGAACTAAGCAACGCGAGAATGCAAGCGCGACTCACATTTCACCTTCCAATCTGGCGCGAAGCCTAGTGGCAAACTGCACTGCGTGTCAAGTGCATCGAAATTCTCCTAGCCCTGCAATTGATACGAGAGAACGAACGCAGTTTTGGACCACTTGTATACTTTGATTTTTATCACGTGGCGCGTCAAGGCCCGTCCTAATTATGGCGTACGTCACGATTTCTTTGCGTCGTGCCGCTAGATGTCGCATGATCTAGACCGTATGAAGCTGTGCTTGTGTTTACTTTTTTATGCTAATTTAATTTTGTGTGAATAATATTGAAAATATCATCAATTATAAAGTCATATTTTGTTCACCTTCAGTTCTAAGTGTAAAATAAGTTTATAAGTGGATTAACTGGAGTTGTTAGCCTACATAACATCTTTTTGCATAGTTTTGATGTTTTAATGGCATGTTTGTGCACGTTTTAATGTTTTACTGCAAGTTTAGAATGTTTTACTGCACGAAAATTCGGCCTTTAATCTATATTAACGAATGCATTTTATATGTTTGCTGACAAGTGTTATTTATTTGACATAAGAAGCATTTAAGACAAATTAATGACGTGTTTTTGAAACTATGAAAGTATGTATCAGAAAATGAAAAAGATGGTAAACGGAAACGCTAAGGGGTTGTTCGCGGTTGTTCGCTAAGGGGTGATATAATATATTTTAAATATATACATGGTATATGCTTGAAAGGAGAGGCCAAATTAATTATTCAAAACTTAGAAGTCACAGCTGAGAACTTCAATGTTGCTTGGGTATTTCTTATGAAGGGTTTTCATAAATCCCCGAACGATTGTAAAACAACATTTTATTACAATTTTAGATCCTCCACATTAAATGCATATCTGAGCCTCATTTGAGACAATTTATGTCTTCGTGTCTCATGTAAATGCATTATTGGCCATAAAACATGATGTGGAACTGCAGGACCTCTTATTAGTGACTTTAATTTTAAAACATTGAGCGAAAGAATTATTAAAAAATTAGGAGCTACATTTAAATGACAAAGCTGTATTAACTTTTAATAAACTCTTTGCATTTTTAACTAGGTCGCAACCTGTCATATCTGCAATGATGGAACCTACTATAATGTCAAACCAGACTTCTACAGCTACTCAAAGATGTCCTAAATTCGTTGTCACCGGTAAGGGAAGGTCTGTCATTACAATCGCATTGCTAGACTAAGGTTCAGAAATATAATTAATCACAGATTTTGCAGCCAAGAAATTAGGTAAATGAAACAGGGTAAATGTATTAATTTCAGGTTCAACCGATGCCAAATTTGTTGCTAATGAAAGAATTACAGCGGAAATCAAGTTCCATTGCGGACATTGGAGTAAGCGTGTCGTATTATTAGTAAACTGTGTAAAGTTCTCAATCTTTCAAGCTCTCAAATCTTTCCCTGTGTCAAATTGGGAATTCCTCAAGACATATTTCTCGGAAATAGTAAATTTAACAAACTCAAGTACATGAATACGTTATTGGAGGCAAGTGTAATGTTTGAAGTGCTTGATGGAAGTAAATATTATCTGCAATATAATTAATTCCCGTTTTACACAGACTGTTTTAGGCTGGATTGTCTCAGGTGCATTTCCTTACAATTCTTATACTGATAATGTTTTGGTTTGTTCTGTAAGTGCTGGCTGGGTTTCTTCCGGAGTTTCATATAGATCCTTTTGAGTACCTCATAAAATAAATATCTTCATGATCTTTGACAGTTCACTACTAGATCTTACATCTGCCAATATTTCAAGTTTCAGATCAAAATAATCTAAACCATTTAATTTGCGTCCATCTATCCATCAATAAAGACATCGTGATTTTCTGCTAAAAAATTCGTGTGCCTCCAGCGATAATCTTAATCATCTTTTTAACAGCACTAATAGACCTTAATCCTGACGTGCGAGCAAATTTACAGCTTAAAATAACATTAAATATGTATATTAAGACCATTCTGAGATACTTTTATTTTATTTCTTATGTAATTCCAAAGCATGTCAACCTTATACTATAGTACAGGAATGAAAATAAGTGAGTTATAAATTAGTTACAATTTAACGCTGGATTTTGTTTCATTATGGCCTCTACTATAAGATAGATAACTATCTCTTCTCCAGCTTTTTTAACCAGATTTTACATGTATTATCCCACGAAATGGCCAATACTCATTTTCGGTTACGCTTCTCTGTGCCAAAACTGGTATACTAAACATGCAAACCTTACATAAAAATATGGATAGGGACGAAAGTAACGGGGTAAGGGACGAAAGTAAAGTAAATCTAATAACTATCAACAAAACTTGTCTTTAAATTAATCTTAGTGCTCGTTTTCTTTCTTAATGAATTAAAACTAACCTCATATTCACTTAGAATGACAGATGAGGGACAGCAGGAAAACCTCCAGTAAACTACTAAAAATATTCCCCGAACGAGCGTTCCTGCAAGTGGCTTACCTTGACGAACATCATTGCATTGAAGACAACCTGCACGATGTTGTAGACCATAAGCACCCTCGTGAGCTGCATCGGCTTCCGATCCCGCATGAACCTCGGGCCCAGCCATAGCACTATCACCAGGTACAGTGGCAGCAGGAACATCGGCACTTCGGGGGACCGCGACAGCGCCCAGTTGGCCACCCTCGGGTCTGCAACAACGCCAACCCAAGCGTTTAATTGAAGGAAATGCAAGCTAGATTTTTTAACTCTTAGGGAGACCTCTAAGGAGTCCAAAATTAGGTAATATATAGGGTCTAATTTATAAATTAGATGGAATAAGCGTCACACCAAATCATTGGTAATTTTCAAAAATATCGACAAATAATCGAAAATAAGACCATATTTTTACCGTTTGTAAATACATATGATAAGAGATTTTTTTTATTTCGAGTGGTTTTTGAAAAGAAAATTCTTAAAAAGATTATTGCTTATATTTTGCGCATAATTACACGAAAACTACTCTCATTCTCAAAAAATTGGACATTACTTCAATATACGTGTTTGAGGAACAGATGTCTTTAAAAATAAAGGAAGACGCCCCAAAAAAAAATTCAATTTTGCAATTTTTGAAAAAAAATAGCAATTTTGACCAACATGAGACGGGTATTGTTTTCTTTAGCCTCCTTTATGCTAAGGACAAAATTTATTCAAAAAACGTTGAGATATTTTGAAGAAAATTTTGAACATATTTTTCAGATTTCATGTAATGTGTAAATATAAAATAAAAATATTCGTTTGGAACTTCCAAACCATTGAGTCCGTTGAGGTCGATGGAGTAATATCAACTTAAAAAATTGTCTGAACAGTTTGAGCAGACGAACAGACATTTTGCCGTCAATCAATTTTTCTGTATCAATTCACCCCTAAAATATGGATTCTGGCTACACCACGTGCTAGAGGAAATAATTAACTGTATTTAGCAACAGAATATATCCACTTTAGCGTTACCAAGGCTTTAAACAAACTTTACAAAATGTCTTAAAATAGTTATTTAGCTCTCTAAAATCACAGGAAAAGCTACAGCCGTCTTGTTTAATGCGTTTTAAATCTGTACTCACACTCATATAATAAGTGTGAGTATACATATCCTTAATTGATGTGTTCTCATATGCATATATTTCCTTAACAATAAATGGTTGGTTGATGGTTTTGGGACGTCAACCGCTAAGATCGTTAGCCCCGTAACAGCATTGCATGTTTTTCGAGACAGCTGACGGTGATTTTCACCCGCTCGATAGCAAAATTCGCAACCACCGCCCCAGCCGGAACAAGCCCTAAGCTCCCGACTGGTCTTCTGGTATGTCTGGTAGTGGTGAGGATGTAAGTGGATGTGTAAGGTGTGAGGATAGGACAAGGAAGAGGAAGGAAAGATCTCGCGCGTAGTTCTTGGCTGCTAGGTACTGCTCTGGCATTTGCATGGTATTGGTCGGAGAAACCATGGAAAACCACCGATCAGAGCGTGGACCGTCAGAATTTTACCAGTCAGCGACCTAGCTATGTGACTAGTGCCGAAAACTCTGCCACCAGCGGGGTGGAACGCTATGGCCTCCCAATCAGAGGCACCGCAGCACCATCAGTTGACGCCCTGAGCTATCCAAGCCAGTGAAAACGAAAGAAATTGCTAAAAAAACAACATTGCACCGCAGCAACACGGCGTAGTCGCACTCGGCCGTGACCCCCATTCGAAGCAGCCGCGCGGAGGCTCGCCTGCGCGCAGTGCGCAAGTAGGTTGGCGTCGGGAGCCATCTGTTACGTGGCCGCCTGAGCCGTTGGGTGTTGCTGAGCACAGAGCCGGAAGAGGCGTTTGGCAAGGAGGCGGCGCGAGGCGGAAGCGCCTGCAGCACCGGCGCGCTCGTTTCGCGGAGTCATAGGTGTGATCCCGAACGCGCGTTACTTTTCTCGTTAGTTGCTGGTGGCGAATACCCTTCGCGCGTGTTTATCGAAATCAGAAGTTGTCGAAGGCAGAGAGAACTAGTGATGCTAAATCACATACTTTCTCTTATTATTGGTAAATCTTACGTAATATACGAATTCGTAATATGCTAATAACAAATAACGCGTAAAATCTCTAATCAAACAAAGCACGAAGTTCGAAAAAAATGGTTTAGTTTATTTAAAATACAGAAGTGTAAATGAAAATTGCTACTTGCCGGTGAATTGAGTGTATTTTGCAAAATTTGATAATCTGAGGGCAAATTCATTTGTTTCTCTTAAAGGATTTTTTAGTAAAAAGTTTTTAAAGAAAATTATTAGATGGGTGTATTTCCTTCATTGGTTCTTCAGCAGAATCGTTTAAAATGTGTGATAAATGGTTGCGCATTTTTATATCCGGATTCCTTCCGCTTATTTTCGAAACAAATTACTAGTTATTAGAGACACAGGGTGTAACTTTCAACACGCACACAGAAACTGTCACAACGATTGGAAGAACGAGAAAAGACGGCAAACAATACTGCACTTTGCAATACACTTTGCAATTGCTTTGCAATTGATTTGCACTTCGCACTGATTTTCGAGTTCACAAAAGGAACATATGTGTGCCTTGCGATGTAACCTGATAATCTTGACGGATGGGAGCGAAAAGTTAACAGCCGACAAGTATGCACGCCATTTGAAAACAATGGATTAATTTGCAGACACGGGTTTCATTAATATCTCGTCAAGCGACTAGGAAACAATTGAAGAGGTTATATCCAAAATGACTTACCTCTATTTCTGTTTGTCTTAAAGTTGAACAAATCAATACATTCTTAGACGCATCTCCATCATTCTGCCTAATATGTGTTCTTATGAGGATCCCTGATTTGGAATACTATCCCTTCCTAGAAAATTGTTTATCTTGAAGATCTGTGACTTTGTAAAAAGGGAAATTATTTCCATTCTTGTTAGTATAAAGAATCGTAATGCTACCAAAGTCGATTCAGATTTTGACTGAAACATGTTTTGTGGGCCGCTAAAAGTGTAAAAGAGTTATTTTTTTTTAAAGATTCGTCTTTCGCCCGTCCTTCGTTAGACAACACTAGAATTCACAGGATGTTATTCAGAATGGACATTAGCAGACATATGTCAGCGTTCGAGGGTCTGCGAATTTGAAATGGATATTTTAATATTTGAGGGATCTTTCCCTGAAGTCTGTGATATTTATGAAAGATACTAAAAACTAGTGGTGCAACAGAATAACGCAGACTTTCTTGTAGTAAAGTGTTCTAATTTCCTTGGTGGAGACTGGCTGTACGGTCTTGAGTCATGCCTCTTAACAGCTGACATCTATTGCCGCCCAAAGTATATTGACATTTTCCCAATTTTTCGCTTTTCTAATAGTCGAACCGAAATATTAATTTACGAATATTAAAGAAGTGTACAATCTTGTTATAAATGAAAATAATTATTGAAAACTTTGGAGCCGTTTTTAAGAAAATGGCGTTTAAGCGTGACAGTAAATGCGAAATTTGAAATTCTTTTTCACAGAAAATTTTTGAGTTTTCGAAAATCATCATTTAAAGTGATTTGAGTTTACTGATGACGCAATCCTTCCAATCCAAATTCCATCCATTCCAAATTTAACATTAACTCGCAATGAAATAATGTATCAAAAGATAGTAAATCGTAGATATTAAAAAAATTCATTTGTGTAATTTTTGTAAAAACAAAGGGAACACCAAAATGAACTTTGTCTTATTAAACAGTACAATTACCACACACTATCCGTTGGAGATGTTTGACGCAACAATTTGGAGTCATTTTTGATAAAATGGGTTTTGAGCGTTTATGAAAATGCGGACTTTTGAGCTCATTTTAACAGAAATCTGTTGAGTTTACGAGAATCTCTAATGACATTTATAGCATATGTACTCATAAATACAATAATGAAAACAAATTGCCGCTGATGTAAATATTAACGACAATAGAGACAAGTGATAACAATTACGTTTTGTAATATTTGAAACGACAAAGGAATAGAACAATATGACGTTTATGTCATCTTATTGAAAGCATTTAGCACTATCCCTACCAAATGTTTACGGAAAACATTGGAGCAATTTTTGAGAAAATCTTGTTTTTGTAATTTTTTAAAATTCAAAAAATGTACATAATAAAGAAACAACAAATTATTGACAAAGAATTATTTGAAGGAAAATATCTATCTCCAATTTTGTAGTTGTAGGAAGACCCCGAAATAAATGCAAACGTTTGCGAGTTTCGAAAATTTAGAGTAAAGCGTGAAAATAGGATTAATGCCACCTTTATAAGAGTATTTACTCTATTCTTACAAGAAATTTCAAGATGAAAATTGGAGTCGTTTGTGAGATATTTTGAAAATGTTTGGGGAGCTGCATGTACAGTATTCCCAAATTTTAAAGAATGATTTTCAAAATCTGAAAGCTATCTCGAAAAATTTCAAAATTCGAGCTAGGTTTCTTCAATTGGGAAAATCCTTTTTATGGTTTAGGCAATAGTGGTGTTCACAGGCAGACGGACGGACACCAGACGGATGGATGTTTTGAAAAGAACAACTTTTTCGGTATCAGGGTATTGTATTTCCGTTGAAATCTAGTAATCGATTTTCTGCATCATTACATAACTTTCCCTTATACTACGTATACTACTCTCTATACAATCCTCTCTACAATTCTTGCTGAAAGAGAGCAAGGTACGATTACAAAATTACCCATATCCGGTTTTCATAAAATCCCTAAATTTTGAGAGCTTGGGTCAAAATGTGTTTTGACTCCTACAACTACATTAAAGAAAATAGAAAGAGAGTGAAATCGTTTCTTCGAAATTAAAATATTCAAATCGTGTGCATATTTTTCAAAGTATTGATAGTTAGCACGTAATTTTTGCAATATTTTTTCATATAAGTATTAGAATATTTAGTACGAAGTTCATTTTTGTTTCGAATATGTTCTCCACCTTCAATGTTGAATTTAGAAATGTCTTCCTTAATGCAACATATTCCTCAATATAACGTATTTTAAACATTTTATTTACAATTTTTGCAAAATATCATCATTTTTTGTGATTTTTGAGAGAATTATATGACGTGTCAAATCAACGGAACATTGAGAACAAATTTCAAAAGAGTTGTAGCAGTATACTTGAAAAAGTCCACTATACTGAAGAGCTTTAGGTCTGAATCCTGGCACAG